TCAATTCAATATGATATCTCATTAATCAATGGCATCTTTCTGTAAGGAACCAACTCCCCAAGGTGTCGTAGACTAAAGGATCTTCGAAAGCATAAAGAGTTCATCGGATGAGATTGAGTTTGATCGAGTCCGAAACAAATTTTGAGACTGAGTTCGAGACCGTGTCCAAGATCCGAGATCAGGTCCAAGACTGAGTCCAAGATCGAGTCTAAGACAGTCAGGTCCGAGATCGATTGTGAGATCGAGTCTGAGACCAAAACTAAAGTCAAGTTTGAGATCAAGTTCAAGACCAAGTCCGAATATAATATAAGTTGTGGGTGAAAGCCAAAAGTTTGTGTTTCCTTTGGGGGGGGGGGAATGTAAGGGGTCTAAAATTATAATAGGGATAGTGAAGTCCAAAAACCACTCTTGAAAGAATTCTCTAGTGGTGTTTTTAAACTGACTTAAGGTTGAAACTGGGGATTAAGGGCCTTGGGTGGGAGTGAGCATAGATTTGGGTGGTGCTAGAGGGGCTACCTAAGGAAATGCTCAAGAGTATCTCCCACTCTTAGAAGGGAAACCGATTGCGGTGCTCTCGGCTCATATAGAATGGTGCTTCACTTAAGTACCTTGCGGCTCATTGGTCCTTGCCCCTTTTTAGGGGCTTGGGCCTTCCCTTTAGGCTGGAAGTGGGAAAGTAGGGGTACCCATATTATGTCGTTAGGCCACAGTGTTTCCCCTTGGTATCTTGAAATAAGTGTTGCACCCAAGGCTTGGGATTTAGAGGGTCCTATGATCAAGTTTTATTATACCAAGGGATGTTAGGAACATGGAGGCTTGGTGCACTTAGTTGCTTATGCTTATGGGGAGTGTTGTTGAACTTTAAGTCCAGTCTAACACAAGGAGGGGGATTAGGAAAGAAATTGAGAATCCGTGGATGGATGGTTAATGCTCCGTTGCTTGTGTAGTAAGTTGTTGAAACCAAGTAGGACAAAGTAGAAGTTGATACAATAGAAAAGAACCTTGGCAAGGGAACTTAACTAAGGCCAAGGCCATAGTGGTTGAATAGACGAAGTAAACTAGCAAATTGAAAAGGAAATATTTGTGGCTTACAATTTAGTATTAAAGTCTTTTCTTCAGTTCTATCAAAGGATAGAGGTGGATTGGTAGGAGATAGCTAAGGCAGGGTGTAAGAGAACCAAGACAAAGATGGAACCTCCTTCGAAGCTAAAGCCTTCGGTTGAACAAGAAGCTATAGATAAGGAATCTTTACATAAAGAAGATTCTAGTGAAGAAACTTCAAAATAGGAGTCCGATGGTGACCAAAGCTCAACTGGGCGTTTTAAAAGGACAATTAGCACAAACTAATGCCCTACTGGAGACCCTCACATGCAAGCTAAAGCGTGACAAGAAGTGGAAAAAAAAACAAAAGATTGCAGATCCTGGCAACGCAAAAGGCATGGACCCTTTGGTAGGGATTGAGGCGAAACTGAATAAGGTCAAATAAACCAAAGTGAAATCAATCCCTCAAGTAGTTCCCAAGTACAAACTAAAGCCCCCACCGGTTTTCAAGGGAGTGAATGACTATAAAGTGGTGGAAGATTGATTTTACAATATAGAGGATTACTTCCAAGTGTTGTGGTTACTGAGCTTGAAAAAGGTCTTATATGCTAAACTATACTTGGCAAATAATGCTAAGTCTTGGTGGAGAATAACAAAGGTCATTAAAGGATCAGTAGCCACTTGAGAAATGATGAAAGTGAGAATTTATGCAACTTATGTTCCTTCGAATGTTACTTTGCACCTAAAGGATAAGTTGAGTAGGCTAAAATAGACAGGAACCATTCAAGAGTATGTGAATGTGTTCATGGCGAAGAGAATCCTTGTCACAGATATGGGCGACATGAATGCGTTCCATACCTTCATATCAAGCTTATAGAATTGGGTTTGAGGAAAGGTGATGCATTGGAACTCAACCAACTATAAGGAAGTATTTGATGTTGTTATCAAGGTGCATTTCAATGATAATTTGCGAAAGGGGAACACAACGAGGTTGGGGTCCATGTTTAATAAAAAAGCCAAACCAAGGGGGACATATGGCAAAGGGAAATTCAAAATGAATTTTTTTAAAAATAAATCCTTAGAGTTTTGGAAAGGCAAATTTAGTGGCTAGCAAGCAAGTACGTGAGGGAGTTAAGTAAAAAGGAATAAACCCACTAATAAGAAAGTCAAATTTGCTAGTAGCGTGAGAAACAATATATACTTCAACTATGGTGAAGCAAGACACTTTTTGAGGGAATGTCCCTACCCAAAGAAGGCCAAAGTTAATATGACCATTAAGTTGGGTGAAATCCAAACTGAGGTACATGATCCAGTCTTTAACTCAAAATTACTCATTACACGAGCAACTTTGGTAAAGAGTTATTTGCGACATTTACTAGCCCTTCGAGGGAAGCTCGAAAGTAGCTTTATTAAGATCTTTATTGATATGGGTGCTTTGGATAATTTCATGGCTGCAAACATAGTCTAGCAAGCTAGAATAACGGTATAATGGTTGGGTGAACAAAAGACTTTAAAGTAGCCAAAGCACCGATGAAGTATTTCGACAAGCAAAAGTCGAAATAGGGATATGGAAAGTAAACATGGATTTCACCATATTAGACATGATAGGATTTAATGTGATCTTTGGGATGGATTGGTTCAATTAATTTGTAGTAACCTTGTATGGACAAAGTATAAACCTTGTGATACTGGCAAATACCTAAGAAGAATGATCCAGGGTGGAGGCCCAAGATCTAAAGGTTGTCTTTGGGTTGAAGTTGCATCATGGACCATTGCTAGTGGCAACCTTGACCCCTTCTTTAGTATTCTTGTTCCAAACAAAGTGATCAACATGAATGTGCAACAGCTTTGGGTGGTGCTCAACCCTGAGACAAGACCAAAAGTTGATTCTTGGGTCTTTTAGTAGGAACTTGAGGAGCTTTGGCATTTGTTCAAGTGGGAATTAGATATACCACGCTCTGAGGATAGAGCTGCTTCTTAGTGACAAGAGTTGTTAAGAACTAATCATATATGATGATGGGATGGTGTGATATAAAAGTTTTGAGGGTATGGAATTAGGGTATATGATTTCATCTCCTTTCTTCCCACTTCAAAAGATGATGTGTCATAATGGAGCATTTAAGATCCCTCATGATTATTGGGGATTTTAACAATCACCTTAGGTGGTCCAATGTGCTTCTTAAGGACCAGATATTAGTAGAAGGTGGTCGTCAAGTGGTTATATAGCACAAGTTTAGGGTGAAGTTTGAGGATACTAGACAAGTGGCAAATTTCTAGTGGCAACTTCTATTGAAGTGTATCTTCTCATGGTTGCCTTCTCTAGATTTCTGTTGCAAGGATGATCTCCTCCAAAATGTTAGCTGACCTTCTAATGTGGTGAGTGTTTCTTTGTGAGTTTCTTTCTCTTCTTATTTTCTTTACCTCTTTCATCATTCTCTCTCATCCCAGTGTGTGGTTGCACCTCCCTTGTTTATATCTCTTCCTTTATTTCTTCCAGCTTATTTCCTATTGTACTTTTTTCTTGTGTCATTTTCATTGTTTTCTTTCAAGTTTCTACTTTGGCCACATCACGAGGTAGTGCATATGAGGTCACTAGTTCTTTTCATGCTAGAGGCACTTGATCCTCTTGTGGTCATTTGTTGGGAGTAGCCTCCAAGATACTAAGGATATTCTGCTGCCTAGAATGAATATTTGGTTCTACCCTATTTCTTCTTTAACACCTCGAGAGAAAGAGAGAGTAAGATGTGAGTGAGCATGGTGACAGAGCCATGTTGGAGCTCATGCTCCAACACTCCCCATCCTTTGTTTGCATTGCTAGCTCTACAATTTGTAATGGAGGACCCACACATGGATGCTTGTTGTGTTAGGAGAAAGGAGGACAATGTGGTCCCTAATCTCGAGGGTGCAAGTAAGTACTATGCTAAGATGTGTTTGGAAACTCCTAGGAGCCCCTAATCCAATTGACTATGAATCTTTCTCCTGGGAAGAAAAAAACTACAAAAGCATAAATGCATGGAAGTACATACATAATAACATAAACATACTAGTATCCCCACACACAAACTCTATCATCCCACTATCCTCACTTATCATAACAACTCCCTAATTCTACTGTTTAACTAAATAAATGAGATGAAAAATCTTTTAAAATATTATAATCCTAAAATATTCTATCACTCTTGTATAAAAGCCACACTTGAGCACAATAGAAATATGGATTGAGAGATCACAATCTAAAGCACTAAAACACATGTGAAAGAAATCAATCTCACCTATCTCCTAATTACATTATGTACCACAATAGATGATTAACTTAACTTGTTGAATTGTCAAGGATGCTACTTATTGCTTACTATTGAAAATGTTGTACCAAAATTGGTGGTTTAAAAGATAATTTATTTAGAATATTCTAAAACACTTCCATCTATAATTGCAAACCAAAATGGTATATTCAAATACCAATTATTTTCATTTAATATAAATGTGTTATTTATTTAGTGTGTAACTTTTTAAAAAAATATGCATGACCTTAAAAATATACTAAAAATGAAAATAAGATAAAAAGTTTAAATATCATCCTCTTTTACTATAGACATCATTTTTAATGAATTCCTTAAATTTTATATTTAGAGGTTTTTTTTTATTCATATATATATATAATTATTTTTAATTTTTATTCTTATTTTTGGTAATTGATTAAATATTAGATTACTATTACTGTTTTTCAAATGAATATGCCTATTTATTTTTAAATTATTTAAAATAAAATAGATTTTTAAAAATCAATATACGAAAAATATAGAAATATTAAACATTTATTTGAATTTAAAATCCCTGAATGAATAATCTAGCCAGAACAGATCTCAGCCATTGATCTGAGAGAATATCCACTGGAACTGGCCCTTATTCCATGTGTTTTAGGAAATTCTGCTGCTATGGGTGTTTTAGGAAATTCTGCTGCTATGGGTACGCTTGACGATCTCGTGGGAGTGGTGGACGCTGCCGAGGGGTTTCTGGATGATCCTCGCTCGTACCTGGGTGCTCAGAGGGTACTCCAAGTTGCTGTCGAATCTCTGAGCTCTACCCAGGCTGAATCTCTCCTGCCGTGGGCGAGGGAATCGCTTGTTCGAATCAGCAAGAAAGCTTTGGGTAGTGCTACCCTCCAGCCGGTGGTCGATGTCGCTCTTCTGACAGTCGAAGCTCTTTCCCGCCGCGTCGTCCAAGCTCGAGTGAAAGGTATGCCCTCTTTCCTTTGCTGCATGATCTGAGTCTTCTGGCAGGCGTTGATGATCCCACACGCCACATACTCAGCGAATACGCAACCCCGGCTGTTCCTGATCTTGCATTGCTCAAGGAATTCCTGGTATCGAAACCGGCGGGATTATGTTTTCCGCTGAGCCCCGCGAGGTATGCGACTCTAAAGTCCCATGATTTAGCTGGGATGTTCGGCAAGGGCACCCCAAATTCGTATTGCGTTGACCTGGAAAACCTTCTGGCTCTTAGCGTCATCAAACCTCCTGGAGTTGGTGCGTTTCCTCTTTCTCTTCAACCTCAGGTTGCTGACGCCATTCTATACTCTTACAGGCATTACAGAATTTTCTTACATTCCGTTTTGGAACATGCTTATACACGAAGCAATCAAGGGGTACCTTCAGACTTCTGTGCCATTCACTTTCGACAGGAACACAAACTGCGAGACGCAGACACTGTCTCAACTTCCTGACTACGTTGGATATGTGGGCGCTCTTTATTCTTTGTTCCGGGGTGAAGAAAAGGTAGTTCGGGGGCCAGGGAATCCAAAGAAGGAGCTCATGAACAAGCTGGTCTGGGTGTACAAGGACGTGCCCTATCTGCTTGGCTACCATGCAAGGGGTCCCAACGTGACATTCGGTGCACTCTACCATGGTGGGGGCAAGGTGCAGTGCGAAGATTTGGTCACGGTGGATCTGAGCAGCATGACTGGCAGGGTGCGGTCCCAGTTGATACTTTTCAACTTGGGGAGGGTTCTGGCGGGCCTTTGTGATCTATGCTCGAAGAGGAACGAGATTTCTGATACGTTCACGGTGCAGGAAGTGGATTCTGAGAAGGGTGGCAAGTCCGTGGTTCTTTCGGGATACTCGGTCATCAAGGGGTATATGGACCTGGAGAAGGCAAAGAAGGTGTGGAACACGTATTCACGCATACAGGGCTGCCCAAATGCAGAGAAGTGTCATACAAGGACCTGTCCCCGCAAGAGGAAACGGAATGGTGATCCTGATGAGGACGATCGGTTGTACACTTTGACGTTCACGCCGCGGCTGGATACGAACCAGCAAGCCAGGCCCGTTCCCGAGCTGTTAAAGGCCTTGCTTCATGTCTCCAGTGCGCTGTGTTATGCCCATGAGAGGGGTGTGATACACAGGGACGTGAGCTGGAGGAACGTGGGACTAGAGCTCACTTCCAACCAGTGGGTGCTCTTTGACTGGGATGAGTCCTGCACTTCTCCAGCTCCATGTGCTGCAGTGACACTTTCCGGTGCCTGTCATGCACCTGAGATTTCTCTGGGCCCTCACGATACTGCAGTCGACGTGTGGGGTCTAGGCTGGCTAATCCATACGTCCAAGGTGACTCTGACCCAAGAGCTGGAAGAACTTCGAGATGACTGCCTGGAGGAGCAGCCTAAGGCTAGACCGACAATGACCTCCTGCACAGATCGGCTGCAGAAAATGTTTGCAAATTTGGATGGGTAAGTCTACACTGTTTTAATAGGATAGAATTACTGAGCTTTACATTTATTTACACTGTTTTTATACAATAGAATTTTTGAGCTTTGCATTCACTTTAATGATATATTGTGAGGTATGGCTAAAATGTATATTAATATTAGCATAGTGGGATTTTAATAGTTGGATTGGTCCATTTACTCGCTAAAGTTTTTGGGTTAATTAATATATATATTTTTATATTTAATTTCCATGGAGATGAGGGCAACTTTGATTAATACAAGTCATAAGCAAAGTGATCATCTCCTGTGTAGGGGTTCCAAAAGTAGTGAGGTTTAAGAATTAATGGTGCTTTTTAATGGTGCTTCCAAATTGATTAAGGGAATCTCAGGGATGATATATACCATTGGTTTGATCACTTTACAGTGATTATTACTTGTCATGGTTGGCTTTTGCATGAGTTTTTTATATATCTCCATGAAACAATATTGCAATTTTACAATGGTTTAAACACAGCCACTCATGTGGATTAGAGCATTCTCTTAGACGTTTTTAAGCACGCATTTAGATATGCTGATGATTATGATGATGTCTTCCAACAATTGTATCATTTTTGTCAAAGACTATTTAAATCAATGTTGGAACTAAACATGTCGTAGCAAATTAAGTTAGGAATGTTGTGGCCAACACTTTGTCAAGATCTTATAGGATTTATGCATGTGTTTACTCTAGCCACTCTTAATGATATTATTCAATTAACACAACGTTATGAGATAGTGCCTCTTCCATTTCTCACTACATGTCTTTTAGCTCCACTTTTTATTAAAGTTAGTTCTATTCCAATGGAGGTTGATATTACTTTTTCTTGTGTTAAAAAACAAATGTAAGGACATTGTTGTAGTTGTGATATCCATTACTAAGTGTGTGATGAAGTTAGCCACACGTATTGATATTGTTAGTGTTTTCTAAATTGACATCTTCCATTTCTTAGGTGGAGGCCTTAGTGTCAATAACATTTTATTAGTGTTGCTACAATAGAAGGTTTTAACACAAATATTTTTTTAGGAAATAAGGAGTCACACAAGTAATGGAGGGTTTTTGCGTGAATAAGTTCGTGACCCCTCTATCCTTCTTTCAAAAGTATCATCAATAGGTTATTTAGCACAAGTTCATTCAGTGTTTATTTTCCAATCTCAATTTTATAATAAAAGGTCTTCTATTATTTTTTCTTCATTTTTTATGGCAATGGCCATTATGGATATGCAATGTATAAGGTGGATCTAATTGTGTATGTAGAAGATCTCGAGTTTGAACTTCAATCATTGCAAATGGCGTTGAGTCAAGTTTTTGACTTTATTTTTAATATTTATTGGTTATAATGCAATTATACCAAGTGTGACTTTAAAGCTTCTCCTTCTTGTCTCATACTTCCTCATATTTCTTCCATTTATTTTATTTCATCACTTTTACTTAAGCTTCGATCACTTTTATCTCCCCCTTTTTTCCTATTGTGTTTCCATATTGCTCCTTTATTCCCTCTCTAGATACCTCCAATGATCTTTGTGCTATAGTGGTGGACCAACTCAAAAAGGAGTATGTTGATTTTTACGACTGTGATTAGTCATTTGTAACAGAGATTGTAACATATCATCATATTCAAGAAATGCTTATCTAATCAAGGTTTTTATTCAATATTAGTCACTAAAGGAGATCAAAATTTTATGCATGAATATTAAGCAGATGTTAGAGAAGGGTGTTATCCGAAAGTCTCAGAGTCCTTAGGCATATGAACCTCATCATATGACAAAGGTTGATGAGAGTATTCACTTTTACATTGACTATCGTCTACTAAATAAATTAACTATCCCAGTTGTGTACCCTCTTCCTCACACTACTAATTTCTTGAATCGTTTGGGGAGGAGTCATTGGTTTACCAAGTTAGATATTTCTTTTAGGTACTGGCAAGTGCTGATGACTGAGGAAGATGTTCTTAAGACGAAAGAAATATAAGGAAGTATGAGACAAGGAGGAGAAGCCTAAAAGTCATACTTGGCATGATTGCACCGCAACCAATCCATACTAAGGATGAGGTCAAAAGCTTGACTCAACACCACCCATAATGACTACAACTCAAGCTCGAGATCACCTACACGCACAACCAAGTTTGCCTCATCCCATGCACATGCATGTGTATGGCTGTTGCCATAAATAATGAAAATTAGTTTTGCCACACGATGCAAATATAAATGGGAACATGTGGCAATAAACCGAGCAATAAAAGATAAATTCGAGTTTGTATCAACCAATATGGAGAGAAGAATAGGAGACATCTTCTTATAAAAATGAGCTTGGAAAGTAAATACTATTTGAACTGGTGCCGAGTGAACCCCTTGATGATACTCTTGAAAGAAAAATGAAGAAATCACTGACTTATTCGCACAATATCCCTCCATTACTTGTGTGACTCCTTGTTCCCCAAAAGCATCTCAATGTCTAAACCTTCTATTATAACAACACTAATAGAACGTTGTTGATGCCAAAATCTCCATCTAGGAAATAGAGGTTGCCAATCTTGAAAACATTAACAACACTAATAAGTGTAACCAACTTCATCACATGCCCAACAGTGGACATCACAGCCATGATTATGTCTTCGCCCTTGTCCTTGAACTCAGGCAGTAGCAGCATCAACATCCATTGGAATAGGACCATTTCCCACAAAAAGTGGAGTTGAAGGACATACAACGAGAAGTGGAAAAGGTGACATCTTATAATGTTGTGCCAAACAAAGAGCATTACCAAGAGTGGTTAGAACAAATGCATGCTTAAGTCCTACAAAATCTTGACAAAGTGCTAGCCATAACAATCCAAACTTAATTTGCTCTGACATATTTAGCTCCGCACGAAGTAAGAGGCTTCAAAACCGAATGCCAAATTGCATCATAGACTCAGCTGGCCATTGACAAAAATGATGCAAATGTTAGAAGGCATAGTTATAATTGTCGGCATATCTAAATATGCATTTGATGACGTCCAAGAGAATGCTCTAATCTTTACAAGTGGCTGCACTCAAACCATTGTACCATTGTAATGTCGTCTTTTAGAGACATATGGGAAATTCATGCAAATGCTAAGTATCATCCCAAGAATAATATGTGGCAATCACGGGAAGTGATCAAACCTTATATTTCTTCCATTTCTTTCACTTTTGTTCTTCTTTGTCCCTCTACTTTTACCTCTACTTCCATCACTTCTTTCTCCCCTTTACTTCTTCTTATATTTCTATATTGTTTCTCTCTTCCTTTTTCCGATCCCTCCAATAGTTTTTGTATTGCAGCAGTTGATTGCCTTATGAAAGAGTATGTTGATCTCTTTGAATTTCATCTATCATCTGGGGCTTATAAGGGCATGCTAAACTCATTAAAAACACACTCTTTATTTCAATTTTACTACTTATTCTGGGTAGTTTTGGGCTCTACCAACATACATTCTGGAACTTTAATATTAATATCTGAAGTCAATTTCTTAGGTGTGTCCAATGCTTTGCATTACACTGGCTATGCAAACACCACTTCCCCATCCTAGGAAGTTCTTTATTTAAGGGCACCATCATCCTCTCTATTATTTCATACCACCCTTAGCACTAATTTCCATTTATCCATAATTCATACTAGGGTTATTTATGGCCATATCATTTGGTTACTTTACTACTCCATCTTTTTTGGAACTTTTACCTTCACCAAATTGGAGTATTTGGGAATCCATCATTGAAAACATAATTCTTTTTCCATAATTCGTTAGCATCCACTTCATGAGTGTTCCTCATTTAACTTGTTTTTTGGATTCCTTTCAATGATTTATATGGCCCATTTTTGGCAACTAATCTTTTGCTCCTATCCTTTATTGCACCACGCAACATAAAATCATTACCTCCAATTTTTGAGGTATTTCTTTAGTTCCATAGCAAAAGCTTTGCTTTGCCAAGTCTATGAAGTGCGGAACCAAAGCTTTGCTTTGCCAAGTCAGTATTATTCAAACCCAAGGACACTTAACCTAAATATCCCAAGACCATTAACCGATTGGAAAAGGGAGTACACTCTTGTTTATGGGCCCTTTCCCTCTATATTTGAACCCCTATTATGGATCGTCTCTCAAATCGTTCCCTTTAGTTGCTTATAATTCACTGTATTTCCTTGCAAGTTCACGCCCTCATGAACGAAAATTGAGAGCCGCAACTCTCGCAAGAGCCCCGCTCTCTTGACACCCTACCCCTCGGGTCGAGCCCAACAGAGTAAACTGGATCTACCAAATGTCAATCAACATGTGGTGTGATTCCCCTAAGCCAACCAACAGAGTTGGACCCGAGACCCCTCTAATACCAAATGTAAGCTCCTAAATTTGGACTTCCCAGGAGGTCACCTAGCCCAATACTATTCAAACCCAAGGACGCTTAACCCCAAATATCCCAAGACCTATAACCGATTGGAAAAGGGGGTACACTCTTATTCATGGGCCCTTTCCCTCTATACTTGAATATGGATCGTCTCTCAAGTCGTTCCTTTTGGTTACTTACAATATGTCCTTCCCACTTGGTCACTTTGACTAAACCACATCATTACCAATAGTTTAAATTAACACTTTGAACTAAGAATTTTATTCCTTAACCTCACAAGGATGTTGTCCTTGTTTAGCCTCAAAATCACTTAGTGATCTAACCTTGACACCTTAATAAGTTTGTTAATAGGTATTAAGTCTTTTATACCTTTAAATTGTTGACCATGACCCCGGGGGCATCCCCCACATTTGGCAGTGCGCCCAAGCCAACTTTTCCGGCTAAAGGTCCATAGCAACTAAAATTGGTTGTCCCTATCTTATTCACCACTTGCACCAAAGTGTTCAAGTTAGATATGCCAAACTTTCATACTAAGAAATCTAACTATGCATCACGACCTTGAGACATCCCCTGTTAGGATCCTATCCCTTACACCCTAAGCCAACTAGCTAAAGGGGTGATTACTTAATTGTAGGGCCCTTTCTATTATCTTAACTTTGTGCCTAACATCCTTTGTTTGGCAATGTGCTTAAGTCAATCTCCTTACTAAGAGTCTATGA